ATTACAAATTTACAAATATCATCAAAATAATAATATGTTTTGTTATTTTAAATAAATATATAATTATGTTAAATAAAAGTACCAGATATAATCGATAACCCATTTTATAACCCATTTTATTTTACCAATTTAACTAACACCGTGTTACTAAGTTATCGAGCAATGTATAAATACCGGTTTTAAGAAATAAATAAAAACCTATTTATTTAAAAAAATAAAATACTTAAATGAAACGACAAACCGAATCGGTTGTGAGAGGTTATATCTGACTTTTACTATGAATGAACTGAACCATGACCAGAACTACTATGCGTTTTTATGAAGAACAGGAAAAACCGAAAAATAGTTCCAAACATCTTCACACTACTTAACCGAACCATTTTATGAATAATCTTTTTCTGTATAATCAATTATATTTACTCCATTATGTTATAAATTTGCAATACGTGGATATACTGTAGCTTACCTCTCCAGGTATCATGATTTGGAGTTTTGTGTAAATCTATTCAACTACAATATCTCAAAAACTCAGCAATACTGATATATAGCAAAGTAAAAAAATTTGTTCAAAATATCTTTTTTTACTAAAATCTGTTAATAAAAATTATTATGAGAGCACTACCACAATTACCTACACTAACAACTATATAAGAAAAATTTTGATTATTATAACTACTTTCTAAAGACAAATTTTAAATATCAATTCTATGATATCTCTTTGCATGTATTGATTATTAGAGTATCAACACTGAGATTAATAACGACCTTATATGTAATTTATATATGAAACCCAAGACATAAGAACTTAAATATTTGAAAATTTATTATAAGTACATATACCATATAGTATAATATATGGTATATAGTCAATCTAAATTTTAAACCAACTGCAAACAATTTTCTGAAGAAATGAATAATAACATCTGAGTTTCTCGACACAGAACTGACCTTTGTCGTAAGCATAGTTAATATTCAGGTTTTCACCAATTTGTAGACATTTACTACAGTCTTAAAACCATTGATACTATCACTGTAATTTAAAAATCACAAAAGGAATAGTCATAACAAAGGTTTAAATGAAATAGTCACACCCTCGGTAATACCCTGAGTAAAAATATCATAATATAATAAAAGTGTCTCCTAGTTATTTATCAGAGTTTAGGGCGAAGGACCTAGTAGTTTAGGTCCTTATTCTAAGTTAATTTTAAAATAATTTTATTGTTAACTTACAAATAATAAATACTTATCTTAGTATTAGTAAGAATATCACCTCTAATGGTGATATGTATCACCATTCGATGTCGCTGATTGGAATCATTTTGATAATATTAGACTGATGAGTTATTTCAGCGCTACTCTATTGTTGGAAATACCCAAATCATTAATTGGTATTTGTTGAGCTCTTAAGGCGACCTTAAAGTCGAGCTATAATGCAGATACATGAGATTTTATTAAGAAATTTTCTATGATGAAAATATTTTCTATAAAGTTTATTATCAGTTTTACCCTTCAATATGTTATATATTTACAATAGTTTTTGTGACAATTAATGATTGACTAATATTTTCCTCACCTCCTTTTAAATTCACTTTGATATCAAACAAAAAAAAATTCAAAATATTGCATAAACTAACGCATATAAAATTATGTATATATATATATGTATATATCAACTTTATAGTGTTTTAATAAATTACATTCATACATACGGGTTCATATATATATATATACATACATATCTCGCATTTAATAGTTTCGCATTCGATTTGAGGTCCAGTATTGTTGTTTTGCTTTAAATACAAACTAAAATAAACATAAAATTGTTTACCACTGATAAGAAGTGCAATAAACTGTTTACTTTTTATAATTATTCCATTGATAATAAATAATTAATAGAAATTAAATCCTTTGTTTTAAATGCAAATATAAATGCAAATATATGTTCCAAAAATTAATTCTCACACATTTGCATAATTTAATTCACCTTGTTTAGTTAGATGTTGTATTTGCTATTACTCATTTTTCAGAAAAAAAACAATTTTTTTTTAAATTAAAAATACATAATTAAATTATTTTTATGCAATATAATTGTGTTTTTACGACCTCTTGAGAATTGGATTTTACTTTGCAGAACTAAAAAGTCAAGTTAACTCTGGATTGTCGGTATTTCAACTATCTTCACTATAAAATTTTCAAACAGATATATTATTTACTTACTTATTTTTTATTATTATTTAAATAAATACTCATGTGATATACTCAATGTGTGTGAATTACATTCCAATAATATATGTATCTCTACATTACCTTTCTTTATTTTGGCAGTCAGTCACAGTGGATCAACTACTTGAAACGAGACTTTAACTATTTGTTAGTTATGGAACGATTTCGAGATACTTAAAACATATTCGACTAAAAAAATTCGTTCTGTTTATAGGGAAAACTGTCAGCTGATGAAGAAGCGTTCTATGTTCTTCCACCTTATCTTTCATTAGAAGGAACTCTCATGGTAAAAGAGCGTCTACCAAACAACCTGTAGCTAATTATACAACCCACATCCTTAGATATGCTTCTATTAGTGGGCTTTATATATCTCTTGATTTTTCCTCTTAAAAGTCGTCTACATTAACCTAAACATCAAAAGGGTTCCTTCTTTTGACCAGGACCAATCAGTTTCTCCAATGACAGTATTCTGCAGTAATAAATAACAAGTGCACATAAATTATTTCTGCATATGTCTCGTAGAAAAAAAATACTTTTCCTGACTAATTCATCAGATTTATAATTTCCTCTCAATATCATCATGTCCTAGAACCCATATCAACCGTAACCTGAACCAGCGCTAATAAAGTTTTTGAAGATGCTAGGCAATCTTAACTAACCTACCAAAGAGTTCATTGATTTGTGGATCACCTGGCTATCAAAGTACATATTTATAGCAGTTGTGGTTTCAGTGAAGCCAACTTTTTCCTTGATTGCTAAAATCGCCCCTGTATAAAATTTAATTCATAAATTTAAACTCAAAATCCAGATAGATAAAAAGACAAAAAAAAGACATTAATATCGTTAAATCAATTTATTTTACCATGCTAATGATAGAATTAAGTGATTTATATGGTCAATGAAATCTCCATTGCTGCGTTGATAAACTTGATATACCCTTTATTTACAATAATATTAAGAGTACAAATAAATTAATTATTTAAATGACAACTAAGATTTATGTTTTAACTAAGTTTTTAATTATGGATAACCTCAGTTAAGATTGCTCACATTAATAGTACGATAGGTAAAGGTTCAATACAACATCTTCTGCTCTACTACTGTACTGTGTTCCTACTGTGCTCCGCGAAGCACTTCCGATTTCCAGTACACTATAAAGTGATTTTATTACCTTCAGATATTAGGAAGTCCTCAACGACTGACATTCTGGCTTTTAATCGGATGGCGGAATATCTTCTGTTTTAACCTCTTTCAGTTTATTAGTTCTCAAGTGAGATATTTATGTATTCTTTTTAATACAATTGTCAACTAACTTTTTTCAACCCATATCAACTAATATACGTGATTGATACTATACCATTATAGACTTTAATGTCTTAAATATATTAGGAGCTACCTCCGACGAATGACTTGCAATATTTAACTGAATAATTCATTGCAAATTCTCAAAAATACGTTCCAAGCATTCTAAATGGATCAAATTTTATTCAATTTCTATGTTGAAAAGTTGTCGTCTACAAAAATAAAATCGTTAACCGTTAACAGCTGAAAAGAGTGTACATATCAAATACTAATATGTATATCATTACACAACAAACATAGTCTAGAAGATGCTCTAATAACTTATTGACTCGTTCTCGTATATATGTCTCATATGTAAATATATATATATATATAAAGCATTTTTCCTATGAAAACTTTAGAAGACTTGAGTTGAGTCCCTTAATTGCCAATTAAATTTAAAAGATCTTAACAAGAGCTTTGTTGTTATATAACAAGATTGATTATGTTAAGATATACCTATGTGCCCTTCATATAAAATCTCCTCACATAATTTCAAGTTTTTCGATTTTTAATATGTTAGTCCTTAAAGATCGCATATATTATATCTTGAAGTGGAAGCATCTGAGGTTATTGCAATCCAATGCATTGACTTTGTAATTAATTCAATATAACTGCAGTTTTTTACCTATACCATCTCTTTACCGGACATAACCTTCTCTTTGTGGTCCATGCATTACAATTTAAATGCATTTAGCTTACTTATTTAACTCTTCTAACTGCCTTTGATTATTAGAATGACATTCTTGGCAGTAGTCCTTTACGGACCACTGGCTAAAATTTTTTTAAAATTTATTCTTAAAGATAGCTTTAGTGTTCTGGTCTAACGGGGAGGCTTTTAAATCTTTCAACTTTTGAAAAATTATACCTATTGAATGGTGTCAGTTGTAAAAAAAATGTGTCTGTCTGTTGGTGGTTCAGCGCTCTCAGAAGCCGCTTTTAGCACGGTGGCTAGCCCGGTATGCTCGCCGGTTTTGGGATGGGGTTCTTGGCAATTGAGGAACCGCTGAGCTACCAACAGGCAGACACAACATAAATGCAAAACACTCGAAACGTCTTACTTTATGTACTAATTCACCATTTAATAGATAATAACTATGATTGATAATTTGTGGGACTGTCAACTAATATATGCATTTTATGTAAAAACTCTATTATTTCTAAATTAATATACGTATGCATATTTAAATGAAATGAAAAGAAATTAACAGAAGACTACATACACTTATGTATATTTCTTAGCATCAATGACCGATCCTTTTATTTTGACATTTGTTAATAAAAAATACAAAAAAGCTTTAAATAAATATTAAGTAAAATTAATGATAAAGTAGAAAGTAAAAGCAATTATAAAAAAAAATAAATAACAGCACGAGGCACCACAGAATTATAAACGAGTATTAAATTATCGCAATCTTCAGTTCAGTGTTTTTATCTCCTGTCCGTCTTTTCATTGTTTTGTGTGGACTGCAGGTCGGTGTATTAATTTCTTCTCCATTTAGTAGAATCGTCTTAAGAACAATAAATAACACGAAGCAAAAAAAAAAAAAACAAAAACAATTACATTCGAATGATTTTACTGTTTCTGTTGAAGAAATCTCTATTTTCAGTAGGTTCGACGTCTCGGCTTTTCGACTATCTTGGCAGTCTACATGCAGCAGTGAACGCACATTGACTCTATTGTGTACTTGATATTTAAAATGTGAAAATGTAAAAAACTTAGTACCAAGACGACGGACACCTATTTGAAGTTTTCTGAAACATTATTTAAAATGCGTGTCTTCCGGGCGAGATAAAAACAAATAAAAAAGAATGTGATATTACACTTGTCTAACGGTGTTCATAGAGTACAAACTCAGCTCTTAATTATTGTGCGAAATAAGATCACTTATCTCAAAATATAATTCAAAAAAAATTTATTTATGTATTCATCTACGAGTTTTATTTGTAAAAGCGACGTAAAATAAATATTTATAATTCATGTAACATTCACTGTACTGTGCCTCTTATTATGTCAGATATAAATAAGACCTCAAATATTAACACAATAAGGTAATCCAAATAAAAACAATAAAAATAGTCTTTATAATCTCATTTGAAGAGTATGTGATAAATGCTAGAAAAATAATGATGAACAACTTCACTATAATAATCCAATAATAACATACACAACATTAAATTGTTTATCTCTAGCATACAACAGACTATTTATATGAATATAATTTTGAATTCTAATGTGTGTATATATATTTTGCTTAATATATTATTTATAACTCATTAATATTAAATATTTAATTATTAATATTCACTTACTTACAACTTTTATAATTCAGCAGTTAGAGTATTCTATTATAAAAGAAAGCAAGCAAACGTAATGAGAATTATAAAATTATTTTTATGTGAAATGTATTAATAATAATTTTAACACCAAATAATTTAATTAATTTAAATAATACAAACCTATAATATATTATCATTAATACATGTATATTTAAACGAAAGAGTAACTAAACCTTTTCCAATTCATATATTTAACTATACATTATACTATTGAAATTGACTAAACCGTTGTTATGTAGATAAGTATTTATTAATAAACAAATATGTGTATATAAGCATATTTACGTGTAGCTCTAATTGGGATTAATGGTTCCAACCTTAGTCTGTTGTACCTATTTCAAAAATTAAATTATTTCATTTATTTATTAACTTGATAAATCAACATTAAAAAAAAACCACAAGACACAATCCATTTTTCTCATTTATACAATTATTTAAATCTGAAATGTTAACTAAAACTTATCAATAAAATTATCTAAAATACAATGTTACCACTTAATCCTTAGAAATTGTTACAATATGGATTAAAAATTTATAGTAAAAACTTCGAAAATGCTTACTGATAATAATATAGTTCAAAAAATGATCTCTAAACATCACTAAAGTGCTTGATTTAATTTAAGATTCATTACATAGGAAGACGTTGACTATTTAAAATATATTAAAAGACTTAATCACAAAATCTATCTATTTCATAAATCTAACAGTAAGATAGTAGGAAGATAAAATGTAGAGAAATGAAATTGAGTTAATATTATTAAAATTATAATTGGATATTTCTAAATAACTCCATTTTCATTAAAATAGAGGTTAAGAACATTGATCAACCTTACGATATATTTGGTTCAAAATTTCTTTCTTCTCTGTGAATTGCAAAACCTTGCAGAAGTAATAAGTTCAATATTTCGTTTTGATCATCGATTTCGGATTCATCTTAAAATATAATAAAAATATGTTGTCTAATATGTGTTCAGATCTGTATTTACTAATAAACTTTAAATTCAAATATACTAGTAATTGCTGTACGCTTATAGTAAACAAGAAAATGTTATATGAAAGAATATAAATATCTAAATAATGAAGTACTACTATATACATATATATATGTATATCATAATTTTATAGTTGTATTAAGAAACTATTGGTCTTATGTTGAGGTTTTTCCGAAAACTATCCGTTTTACTCTTTCTTAGCTAAGGGGTTTCTACAGAGTCCCTCCTTTTAATTTATATATCCCTCACAAGCTTCGCTGATTATTCGATCACTGATTGAAAATCTGCATACCGCCCCGTACGGCTAGTAACTGCTCAAAAATTAGATAGTGCTATGTTGGGCAGCCTGTCAGTTTTCACGTATAGCTTCAGGGCTCTGGCCATTATGTGTTTTAACCGAGTCTATTCTCATGTACCATGACTATTGGTATTGCTTTATATATTTATCATCAGGTCATAACTTATGACATGACCACAAGTTATGGATACAATCTGATAAGTTCTAGTTTACCAAAAATGTTAAGCCCAACGATATAAGCTCTATATTCTCTGTTAGCTGTGTTTCTGGATCACACTACAACGATGTTAATATGTTTAATTCAGAATTAAAAATCAAACAATGTTATGAAACCGAACAAATGAAAGTACGAGTATTTTGTGCAATATACTACAATGGATTGGATAATAGAGTCCAATGATATAGGGATTGATAATGTTTAGTAGGTAAGATGTAATGTTTCAAACATAAGCAGAAAGTGAACCACCGAAATTAACCATAATATTAACATATTCCAAACATTTTGAACTGGAAAACACATATTAGAAAGTTTAAAACTTCTCTTAAAAAAACCTAAAGAAATAATAATTAATGATAGTTTTTAATAAATCTTTTCTAAAAATATAATTACGAAATATAGTAACCTCTTGTGCAGTTAAAAAAGTTGATATTTTTTATCTTTCCATATGCTTACACATATTTTTGTTATTTATTGCATATACAATCTAATTTTTTTTTATTTTTTGCTCCAGAAAGATACCAATATATTGAAATCTAACTAAATATATACGAAGCTAATTACTAGGACAAACGTATATACTTTTATATACACGTATAACTTATAAATGTTAAAATTTATGTATTTATTATTACATATAACATTAAATTGAAATTATTACCTATATTACAAAAAGCCCGAGAAACTGATGTCTTCAGCTTGGATGTAAAAATTATTTTTTTTTTTTTGTAAAAGTGCATTGAATAGGTCTCAATCCAAGGGACTATGTATATATTCTAAAACAATAGCAATACTATAAAAATCTGAAACAGCAGACATTATAATATTTTAAATTAAATCAAATAAATTTAATTAAATTCAATTACGAACAATAATTAGTAAATGTCTTTACAAAATCGATTCCAGACTTTACACTGTTTATAGAAATTAGATCTAAATTCAAGAATCTTTAAGAGCGTCGAAAAGTATATTTGTGTTCAACTTCATGCTACAATATCCTCCAACAAATTTCTATTGGATTTCTATTGGATCTAAAACGATCAATATAAGATAATGTTTACTTGTAAGATCTAGCCTTCATTATAATTGAAACGATCTCGACAATAAGCAGAGTAAGCAAAACTCTCCAATTTTATAAATGTCCTCTATCGTCAAGTTGAAATAGCCTGAGGAGATTGAACATTTTTCTGTCTACCCAAATCAATTGAATTCAGATGATATACATTATCAAATAGCATCTTCGTCAGAGAAGTATTTTTTTAATCACCTCTTTAACACTAAAGATCATTGAAGAAATCAATCTGATCTAAACTTTTGTAATGAAATGTTTAAAATGTGCCTAAATAACAAAATTTAAATACAATATATTTTATTTGAACTATATACTATATTACTATATACTATTATATATATTCTACTACATTACTTGTAATTAACTATACCATTTAAATTTTTACTATATTGATTTGCCTATAATGAATTTCACATACACATTTATAAAAATTCTACATTTTTATCTTAAAATTGTATTTAATCTTAATGTAAATAAATATTTAAAATATTATTAAAAATTATTTAATATAATTTTTTTTTTGTTTCCTTTCTAAATTTTAGCGATCCTTCACTTTATGATACATTAAAAAATTGTGCAAATCTTCAATCGTATGAAAGTCTACCTATTGAAGACTACAACGACGTCTATGCACCGAATATATATGATTATAACAAAATGATTTCTATCAATTCATCATATTCAACAAGTGGAAATTTATCTTCGACCGGCAGTTACAACAGTGAGGATTCAGTTGGAGATAATATACTTGAGGAAAACGGTAGAATATCGTTAGCATATGAAAATCTACGTACAATACCACGACGCATTGCCGCCAAATTTACCGTTTGCAAATGTCTTGATCTTAGCTATAACAATTTCGAAAATCTTTCATTTCTCACATTTTTTGAAGACCTACATACTTTAATTCTGGACCGAAACTATAATCTAAATGTTAATACATTACCATTTTTAGCAAACTTAAAAATATTTTGGTAATGTTCATCTTTAATCACGTTATATATATAATCAGTAATATTGTTATTATCTTTACAGGATTAATAATTGTAATATCAAAAACCTCGCTGATTGGATACAAAGAATACGTATGCAATGCCCTAATTTGGAACATCTCTCTGTTATGGGCAATCCGGGTACTAATGGCTTATTCAAATATTCTGCACTGACAATAGATTCTTCCTTAACAGATCCGCTTTTACCAACCACTTATGTCAGTAATTACCAAGATTATGTACAACTTGTACTGCCTAATCTCCAGTATTTAGATGGAGTTTCGCTAAATGTCTCAACTAAAGAAATATGTAAAACAATTGTCAATCAAGATAACATCACAACTCCATCTCGTTCAGCGAGCAAAAGTGGTACAGGCAACAGCACGAATAGCAACAGCACGAATAGCAACAGCTGCATTTCAGATAATAAAATACAGCCTAGTAACCATAAGTCTTCTCCTACGCTCAGTTTCTTCTTTCGTTTACGAAAAAGAAAGAAGTCATACACGAGCTCTTCAACAAACTGATTATAAATTTAATAATGGAATTTTACAACCATAACCCTTAAGTTGATAAATATATATTTGTGTTCAGTTGTTATATTGAATGTGTCTTTTAAAGAAACTTATCAGTTCACTGTTGCTTTTGAGAGCACTATGGTGCAATGTACGCCAACATATAATATAACCTACCAATATATGGTTTTTACGGTATTTAATCATACAATTCAGTTTTTTTTTCCATTATATAATATATATTTACTTATTTACTTTTTGCATTTTTTACAATTGTAAGAGACAAATTATATAGGCATAAATTCAAATCGTTTATGTAATTTAATTAATTTTATATATAATATATCGAAAAAATGTGATCAACTTATTTGAAAATTCTTAACCATTCTTATTTTAAATCTATAATTGAAAAATATATGTATAAAATGCTAATGTTTTGTTATGTTTAATTTAAATAAAATTAATTTCTTTTGTCAAATGTTAAGTAACTACTTTTTTTATTTTAAAATACACTAATTAAGAGAAAAGGAGTAGTTAATATCAAAACAGAATACACAAGAGGTTCAAACAATTTCTATTATCATTTTCAACTGTAAATAAATTGAATTAAAAGTATGCAAGATTTATAAAATAAATTTAATATTTTACAATACAAATAACAAAAATTTTAAGCAAAATACAATTAATATTAAAAGTTAGTAACTTAAATATATTTATCTTAATTGTATATAAATTAATATAGCTGTCTATTTAAAAACAATTTTTTTTAACTGACTTGAAACATTTATATAGAAAGGAAAAAATTATTACAATTTTTCAATTTTTCGCAAACGCAAAAAAGTTTTAATTTTTGTTTGAGTTAAAATTCATTTATTGCACGGATTTATTTAAACAATTACATAAAGAAATTATATTGATATTATTTTGGAATTTGCATTATTAAATCTTACTTTTGAATTTTAGCAAATTATTTGTGAAGCGCATTGGAATGAAAATCTAAATTTTTTGCTGACACCAAACCAATTACGAAAATTATAATAAATAAAAATCCCGATAAGAAACTAAATTGATGCCTTAAATTTTTTATGGAAAATAAACATTTTTAAAGGAATACGAATACATATATGTTTACGCATGATTCAAACCCTATCCACTAACCACCAGTTTTGTCCCCTGTCAGTTTGACTTAATTTCCAAATTTCCAAGTGCTGTATCTAACGCAGCGATTAATTTAGCATTTTTCTTAATTGTAGAATGTTCTTCAGTACGTGCAGTTGCTTTTTCTAGAGCCCATTGACCGATTTTTTGTGCTTCTTTACGTTTCGAACCTAAGACTCTGGAGTTGGAAATGGCGTTACAGCACTAGACAAAATAAAACAATTTAATTTACAGTAAAGACACATTTACAGGAAAGTAATTGTTACTTTATACTTACCAGGTAAATGCCATATAACGCCCGCAAGTTATTGGGATTCAGTTTCACGGCTTGCGAATAATAGACTCTGGCAGTTTCAATATTTTCAATGCCACCCTATATTAAAGTAAAATTTAATGAAAAATTTCAAGTTTAACGATTGTAATACAAACCATGGTGTAACGAATTTCAGCGATACGTTGATTGATTAAATGACTATGAGGGTTATGCAACAGCATTTCCTCCATGCAAAATAATGCTTTTCCATAATCAGCTTCAGCAAGATACAAGCTACTGAGATCATGCCAAGCTTCTTGATCAGACATGAATCTAGATTGAGATATAAATAAATTTTTTTATAAATAATATTATTAAATATTTCTACAATAATAAGATATTCCATATTTGGTAAATGATTTTAAATAGTAAAAACTGTATACTACAATAAAATTATGCTCGATATGACTGAGCAAAATTTGAAATGTTTTGCTGCGATAACCTAACAATCGTTTAATATAATATTTAGGTAACTAATAGAGTAATTTAAGTTCTACACAAATGTTATGGAAAATTGAAATATAATCAGTGCCACACATTTATTTTATTGGCTTTAATTTTGTAACATACTTTTTTAAGTACTCCGTAAGTTCCTTTATAGCTTCACCACGTTTTCCTCTGGCTTTTAGTATAGCAATTTTTCTTTTACGTGGCGCAGCGCATGTTTCATCCTTAGCAATAATAGCATCAAGAACATCAGCGGCTTCATCGAAACGTTCCAAAGCTTCTAAACGCATTGCTTTAAATTTCATAACACGCATACTCCCTGGAAATTCCACACTTAGTTCTTTAATACATTTGGTTGCAATATCGAAGCGGCTTGTGTCGAAAGCTGCCATAATGACTTGTTCTAATATCAGGTGACGTTCATTTCCAGTCTTCTGGACTCGATCTTCTAAAATACCCTCCCAAAGAAGAATCACTTCGTCACTTTTTCGTTCGTTATTTTCACGCCATTTTCTAAACTGATCACGGACATCTATAATATAAACGAATTACATTTTTATGAATTTAATTAGATTGGTTGAAAATAATTTCTATATTTATATATATCTCACTTTTTGAGGTACGACTAAATTAAACATAATTTATTTATTTCCCATCTTACCTGACCAGGACATATCTTCAAAATTACTCAACATTTTTAATATATTATTAATACTATTGTTTTCAATTTTAAATGCACATAAATTTAATTTTCTGCTTAAACTTTAATTAGGAAACATGAAATTGGGTTAATAAGCACGATAGAATTATTCTACTTATGAAAAGCGTCAGCTGAAAAATATGTCAATTGTTAAGACAGGGCAGCTATTTTGCTTGATAGCCCAGGAGAAAAAAATGTTTTCTTTATGTATATGCATATTTTTCATTAATTTGAAAAATATTTAATATTCTTAAATATTTTTAACTTTATACATATGTATATATATATATATATAAAGACAAACTTCCATAACACGAAGCACCATTTTGCAAAGAAAAGGTTCGACTTATGGACAGCAAAAGATTTTTTTTATAATTGTATGAAATATGCTCTCTAAACTCTGTTGCACTCTATTTAGTTCGAGTTATTCAAATCATCCACGAGGTGCTCGTAGTATAACTCAAGTAAAGTACAAACTGAGAGCATAACACAAATAAAGTGCCAAATTTAGTTCTTTACACAGATTTTCTTGAAACATCTTTGTGTAAAGTCTGGTGAGAAAATAAACAATGCAAAAATTTAAATTCAAGCAAAAACAACAGATTCACACATCACACAAATTTTACTTAAAATAAAATGTACGAGTAAAGTTTGTGGAGCATTTTCAAATTTCAACAGGGATGTTACGCTCTCTCAGATGCTCTCATTTACTCGAAAATTTGCTGGTGGGACACATTTGTGTATACACAGTGTTACTCAAAGTTACTACGAGTAGATCGTGGAACAGACCTAATATTGCTGCCACCGTATGTGTTTTTATTTTTTATTAAGAGTTTCTACATCCAAAAAATTATTGAAAATAGTGGTTGTTCACCATTTTGTATGGAGAAAATGCTGTTACTTCTAAAAATGTTGTGTTAAACTTTTCATAACTTTATAGTCAAGACATTTTGGAAATGTTGCCTAACGTTGAACTTGAAAATTTAAAATTTAATTTCGAATTTTACAATATTTTCATATTAATTTTTTCTAAATATGCAATGTAATTCTGTTTTTGTTCAATAGTTTTTACATAAAACTCGTAAATAAATATGACAACATTTATATTATGCCTCTAAAGTTTCTGGACACATTTATTTTATAATGAAGTTTAATGAATTTGAAAACTTTTAACCAAAAATAATAAATAAATGCAAAAAATAAATAAATAAATATTTATATAATATATATGCAAAAAATCCTTAGGAAATTTCAATTTACTCGAACTCGTACACAGCCGTAGTAAAAATATATGTTTTTCTTAGTTTATTTTAAGTTTTTATTATAGGAGGCAAAATATATGCAATAGTCATAACAAAGCAAATTATTTTTCTAACATCCTGTACATTAAAGTAATCGATATTTTCGATAACATCTCTACAATAACTTCTTGCCATCTCTTGCTTGGCAATGTTTTCCCGCCAATTCGCAGCAACCAAACACATTGGTGCGACAATTCTTAAAGTTTATATTTTGGAATTAAATAACGTATAATATATTGCTATTAGTTAAAAATGACAGAGGCAGAACAATATATAAGAGATATTCAGCGGGAGTATTTGGATTTTCTCGATGATGAAGAAGACCAAGGAATATATGCTGGCTATGTGAAAGAGATGATATCCGAAAAAAGTCGAAGGCTTATTGTCAATGTTAACGATTTAAAGCGAAAAAATCCGCAAAGAGCACAGGGGTTGCTGAATAATGCATCCGATGAACAATTAGCATTTGGACGCGCTCTTAAAGAATACGTTTCTACTGTGGATCCGTCGTTAGCTAAACAACATGAAGATTTTTTTGTGGGGTTCGAAGGCTGTTTTGGTAACAGGCACGTAACGCCTCGATCTTTGACATCAATGTAAATTATATAAATATTAATATTATGTACATTTTAATATATATTTTTAAATTTTAATAGTTACATTGGGAACTTAGTATGTGTTGAAGGCATAGTAACCAAAGTATCGCTCATACACCCGAAGGTGGTGCGCAGCGTTCATTATTGCCCCGCAACTAAAAAAGTCTTAGAACGTAAATATACTGATCTTACATCATTTGAAGCAGTTCCATCCACTGCTGTGTACCCAACTAAAGATGAAGATGGAAATTTATTGGAAACTGAATTCGGACTATCCGTTTACAAAGATCATCAGACATTGACCATACAAGAAATGCCAGAGAAAGCCCCAGCTGGTCAATTGCCACGATCTGTTGATATTGTATGTGATGATGATCTAGTTGATCGTTGTAAGCCAGGCGATCGTGTACAAATAGTGGGCAATTATCGTTGCTTGCCGGGCAAGCAAGGTGGATATACTTCAGGGACTTTTCGTACAGTTTTATTGGCTAACAACATATCACTCTTGAGCAAAGAGAGTAACTTGGATATAACACATGAAGATATCATATTGTGTAAGAGATTAGCAAAAAATAATGATATATTTGAATTATTATCAAAGAGCTTGGCACCTTCAATACATGGGCATGCCTATGTAAAACAAGCAATATTGTGTTTATTACTTGGAGGTGTTGAGAAAGTTTTACCGAATGGTACACGTTTGCGTGGAGATGTAAATATTTTACTAATTGGTGATCCTAGTGTAGCGAAATCTCAACTACTTCGATATGTACTAAATACTGCTCCACGAGCAATTCCTACCACAGGTCGTGGCTCAAGTGGTGTCGGTCTCACGGCTGCTGTAACGACAGATCAAGAGACGGGCGAGCGACGTCTAGAGGCAGGTGCTATGGTACTAGCTGATCGAGGTGTAGTTTGTATTGATGAATTTGACAAAATGAGCGATATTGATCGTACAGCTATACATGAAGTAATGGAACAGGGTCGCGTAACAATATCTAAAGCCGGTATTCACGCATCATTAAATGCTCGCTGCTCAGTACTGGCAGCAGCTAATCCTGTTTATGGAAGAGTGAGTTTTTATATTTTTTAATTTATGTATTAATTTTATTTATATTTTCTTTACTTTTAGTACGATCAATATAAAACACCAATGGAAAATATTGGATTGCAGGATTCTCTTCTATCCCGTTTTGATTTACTGTTTGTTATGTTGGATGTTATTGACAGTGATATCGACCAAATGATATCAGATCATGTTGTTCGTATGCACAGATATAGGTAAGTTTGAGTATAGTCTTTAAAATTTTTAATAAGTGAAATAGTTTAAAATATATTATTAATTTTTTTTAAATAATCCAAACAGAAATCCCAAAGAAACTGACGGAGAACCACTGTCAATGGGTAGTTCATATGCTGATTCTCTATCGTTTGCATCAAATAATGAAGAAGTAACTATTTAATATTATTTATATATTTTCATTTTATAATTATAATTATTTTTATTAGAAAAAAAATGCAGAAATTTATGAAAAATACGACGCTCTCTTGCATGGTAAATCCAGAAAACGTCATGAAAAAATCTTATCAGTTGATTTTATGAGAAAATATATTCATATTGCAAAATGTATGAAACCGAAACTAACTGAAGAAGCAAGCGAAGTTATTTCGAACGAGTACTCACGTTTACGTTCCCAAGAGAGTGTGCAATCTGATGTCGCACGAACTCAACCTGTAACTGCTCGTACACTTGAAACACTTATACGTTTGTCAACAGCACATGCCCGTGCTCGACTATCTAAAAATGTAACAACTGATGATGCAGTAGCTGCAATTGAGCTGGTACAGTTCGCTTATTTCAAAAAAGTGCTTGGAAAAGATAAAGGCCATAAACGACGTCGCAATGGCGAAACATCAGAAGAAGAAGAAGATGAAGTAACACCGAGATCGCCATCTCGACGTACCAAACGAACTCGTACAGAACGTACTGATGCATCTGGAACTACATATGATACCGAAGATGAGATAGAAACACCACAACCTGATGCTGGAGATCTCACACTCCGCGATACTAGAAGATCTATAACATCTAGTCGAACTACACGTGCCGGTCGTTCTGCAACTCAATCTAGCACAGATAATTCCAGTGGACAGAATGGTGCAGCAGAACCTGCTACTATAACTGACGCGCGTCTAGGTATTTTCAAGAATAGTCTTCATAAAGTATTCAGGGAGGCTCGCGAGCAAAGTTTGTCATTAACACGCATAACTGAGGCAATTAATAAAAATAATGATGAACAATTCTCTGATGGAGAAATTGAAGCAGCAGTACATCGAATGACAGAAGATAACCAAATAATGGTTGCCGATGGAATTGTATTTTTAATATAATTTTTAACTTATTAATTTATAGATTAAGTTTGTCATGTTTTCTTCTTTCCTATTTTATGCCTTTAATAAAAATTTATTATGTTATTGATAAATATATATGTTATTATTATTAAACTATATATATGACATCTGTTTGGTACAATTATTTAGTTTTAGATAAATTGTGTAAATGATTGCTATTTATAATAAGTCGGCGACAAAACTAAGGATAGCACTAACTAAAAATTGTTAAATAACGACTTTTAGAATGATTAATGAAAAGAACTATAGTGCGAACTTTATTACATGCCGTAGTAATCTTCATATCGAGGATATATATACAAATATTTCGATCGAAAAATAATTGTTTCCAATTTGTTAGTCCGAAAATATATTTTGACGTCTCTAGGAAGCAAGAAACCTGAACATTAGACAATATCACTTTTTTTTAATTTAATAAATCCACTAATGAGGCAAGGTCTAGCTTAAATGATTCGTAGTTAGCTATCATCGATGAAGTAAAGTTTCTAAGCTTTGAAAAGGGTGTTATCATTTTATATCCATTCCTTTATCTTCCAACCTTAATTTGTATACCACCCTATTTTAAATTATATTATTTGCACATATGTTTTCGCTTCCAACTATTGTAAAGTTACGATCATTATAGATGAAGTACACTTTTTGTTTGTTAAACCCGGTTTGTGGATTAAACTTTTTTAAAACAAATCACAGCAAATTTTTATTACTTTGTTCATAAAACTTTTACAGCAAATTAATAAAACTCTAGAAAAATGTGCATACATAAAAGGCAAGTACGGCTTTAGATTAATTGGTTAAGGAGAGCTGACTTTGAGCTTTAAATTTGGCAGGGCACGAGTTCAATCCCTGGTACTTGTAGTCTCAAACACTATTTACGAGTAATCATTACAAGACCACTGATGACAGGTATTTCGCAATACTCGAAACAGCTGTATGATCAGTAAAACTTTCAATTAATTAAAATAATATAATAGAATTGTTTGTTATTGTAGTTCACTATTTATCAAAACCTCTTCGAAATAAATCATTTAAAAAACAAAACTATATTTTAATATATTTATTTAATTCATTTAATAAAAAAAAGGATTTGAAAAAATATTTAAAAAAAGTTTATATGCAAAAATGTATTAATGTTTATATTTATGTGTAAGTTTTAGATTGGTCATGTTGTTTCCATTTGTTCAGATTTATTTGTGGAATATCGCTACAGCTCTTTAACATATTCCTGAAGAAATCGATATTCAATTAATATGTTTAGTAGTTTATTAAACAAATAGAATTTACCTTCGATTTGGGAAAATAAATGCATTTGGCTGTATTGAAAGCAGATAATCAGCATTATTACAGAAGAGTCCCGAAAGACTAGACTTGCGTATCTCAGCCAGTTGACCTGTTATTCAATTAAAGGACCCATTGTAACATTTGTTTATATGTAGCATCAAAATTAACTTACATCTTGTAAATCCACTATATTGATTTTCGTGTTCAAAAAAGAATCGATCGGCTGTTCTAGTCTTGCCAAATTGCTTGGCGACAACACATTGAAATGTTGGTCCGAAAACTGATTGTTGCACTGTTTTCTCTAATGATCCACCAACTACAAGATCCACATCATCTGGAGAATTGTATAAACTCTTCAGCAAAGCAATTTTCTATATAAGAATTATGAATTATTATTAATCAATATTAAGTAATTCAGTAATATATAGTTACAGATGCAGGTATCTCATTCGAAAATCCAGGCCAATCATAAGCACGTGGTAGTCCACAGTAATGACGAACATCATTATAAGAGGCGCAACCAAAATCTCGTGAACGCTGTATATCGACTGCTTTTAAGTCTTTTCCGTATTCTTCGTTTGCCTTACGGCCAAAATGATGTTTAATCTAACATAATGTTAACATATATAATGTATTGAATATTATATTTAAAAATATATACATATTATGAATTATATGAGGATTTCAGTACTTACCTCTTTATCAACATGACTGCTACTTTCTTTCTGAAATTGTGTGCATAAACCACGTACAAGCGAGTCAAAATTATCACCATGGGATATAAAGTTGATATTTTCTGGACGATTAATATAATCACTTAAACGCATAGTTTCATTATAATGCCTACTTGGTCCAACCAAGCTGTGGAATAAACAATTTTTAATCAAAGAATCTGAAATTGTTAATCTCTTAAAGCCTTACGAGAACCATCCGGGAATTTGGTTATGGGAATATCTGAAAGCAGCTGATGAGAATTCAACTAGTGGAGCTGGATTTACAGAGGGATTATAGTCATTGACATAATCATGTGGATGTACGTAATACACTAAATTATTATCAAGAGAATATGACTGTCCTAGAATTAGTGGTAACCAGTGATAATAAGCTATGTGTTGGTATTGCGCAATATTAATTTTTCTTGCTTCCTGGAAGAGCCGTTCATCATCGTAATGTGGATTCAAAAGTGCTAAAGCATTGGCAATCCTATTGTGTTCTCGGAGAAATATAACATGCAATACAATTATGGTAGGAATTTCTTGGTTTCTTTTATCAGGAATGTTGTAACATTGACTCATATCTTTTCCACATTCACTACCATGACTCAACGGAGGATATTCACGATTATTCAATACACTTGTCTTAAGTAATCCACCTATAAATTGGCGAACTTTTCTATTTTCTTCTTTTGAGCT